TAATTGCAGTATTCTGAGTGGCATGCCTGTATCAAGTGTACAACCTATGGAATTAGTGATATTTATAGAGTTACAGTGTCTGTAAATGACATTTCATGTGCATGAAACCAGAAATACATTGGGGATTGTGAATCAGGTTTCCTAGGGGGATTATATTCTTCAGTATACAAAATGCAATTAGAGCTCCATGTTTTACTTTTATTTTAATTTTTTACATTAACATATATTTACATTGAATGCGTAACAAAGATGTGTTTTGAAGCGGTCTCTAATATAAATTAATATCTCTGTTTAATCTGCTATCGTATATTAATTGTCTAAATTAACGGTCTCCTTTGGGGGAAAAAAAACAAAGTTAAAGGGATACTATAGGCACCCAGACCACTTCAGCTAATTGAAGTGGCTTGGGAGCATATTCCCAGGTCCCTTAACCCTGCAATGGTAATTATTGCAGTTATTAAGAAACTGCAATACTTACATTCAAGGGCTAACATTACCTCTGACAGCCACTACAGGGACTTTCAGGAAGTTAGGCAACTCTTGGTTGCCTACCTGACGCTAGACATCCTCCCGCTATGCATGAGGATGTCCAGCGTCACACAAAACCCCATAGGAACTGTATAATGCTTTCCTATGGGGTTTTGGGTGAGGCTGGACATCCTCATGCGTAGCGTGACTTTTATAGCACAGATAAACCATTTTGCAAATATTTGTTTTAACAGCCATTTTCAAGGGTATTATAGGTTCCTACCCAGGGCAGACCATCAGATATGTTCCGCAAACATAGGAAAGAGCTTGCGGTGAAGAAATGAAAGTAAAGTCTGGGTCCCCCTACACGAGGGCAACTTTAAGGGAGTGGCACCGCTCCAAAGGGAGACATGACCTAACATCATACCCGACACCATTAATACCCCTGACACACAACCCTGAGTTCATGCCGGGGATGGACCCGAACGCATTTAAAGACCTAATACAGGACCCGCTGCCCAGACTCAGACACATACAAACCACTGACGGCATAAAGACACTCAAGGATCTGAGGGGGAGTGAAGAACACACTTTCCTAATACGCCTCAAATACAACCAGATCCGGAGTTATGTCACATCCCTCCCGCAGGGACCGGCACTACATAGGGCCACCACTCCCTTCGAGAATCTATGCCTGGAACCCAACCCACTAGCATATGGGGTATCGGCACTATACACCCTACTAATAACACTCACACCAATTGCCCAACCACGGTTCATGGGGAAGTGGGAGGAGGCACTGGGCCAGACCTTTGACAAAGTGGAATGGGAGAAAATCTGCTATTTAACGCACCACTGCTCTAGCTACAGCAAGACGCAGGAAACGGCATATAAACTACTGACACACTGGTACCACACTCCTGAGTCACTACATGCCCGAATTCCATCCCACCCCCCACAGTGCTGGAGATGTGGAGAGGGCAGAGGCACACTCTTACACATCTGGTGGACGTGCAAACAGATAGTTCCATTCTGGTCTGAGATTCACAAAATATTGGCAAAGTTTACAGACGACCCAGTCCCATTCGACCCAGCAGTCATGCTCTTACACCACACTAAAACCCCCCGAACAGCTTATAAGAGGTCACTTACTATTCGCATACTGAACACGGCCAAAATGATCGTACCACAGTATTGGAAAACTCAGGTCACCCCCCCTGTGAGAGTATGGTTTGCGCAAATGGAAGAACTGAGATCCCTAGAGGAACTTCACCACAAAGCTCACGATACATTTCAAGTGTACCTGAACACTTGGACACACTGGATCCTGAAGACAACAGACCCCGAATTTACTGACATGACATAACTACCACCACATAGTTAGCTGCAGGAGGCTACAAACCCAGAGAGGAGAGGGGAAGACAGCCACACAGGGGCAGGTCTACTCCTGACAACAGGGGTTCACCGACACTAGACGGCCCGACAAACACACAAAAGACAAGGGAGGCTAGATCACATAGACGAGGAGACCACCTCAACTAAATAGGGCACCCCGAAGAGGGGAGGGGGTGAGAGAAGCGGATCATAGGACCCGGGCTGTCACGCAACACTCTCACAAACAGGCACGAGTAAAGGAGACATACACACACACGCAACATTCACAAGAGACCTGTGAGACGGATGTAATCGCGGGCATACGAGCCCAACAGAACAGGCTGTATAAAAACATATAAGAAAGAGGGCAGATCCTGAAGGGCGAGACACAGAAATGGATCAGTCAACATGTTTGTTATGTTTGTCATTTTTCACAGTTTTATCTACATGGTTAACCTGATGGAGACCTGCGAGTCTCAATGTGCTGGCATTTGCTCTGAACACACCGTAAGACAACAACGGAGACCTGCGAGTCTCAATGTTACACCGTTCTCTTCGTGTGCATAAAATATGCCAATAAAAATATATTTACAAAAAAAAAAAAAAGAAAGTAAAGTCTGGAGTTGGTAGGGACACTATTTAGGAGTAGAGAAGAGGGGCACATGCTCTGTGTGTATTCCAAAACTGTTTACACATGCTAAGAATGGAAATGAGTCCCATTATTAAAAGTCCTCCCTAGGGGCCACCAGAATCTCAAAGCAGGCACATGTTCTACATACTTCGTAGTGTCATATTTTTGCAAATGTGGGCAAATTATTTTACGTTACATTGTTTCTGTTCTACATTCTTGCAGTTTGGGTGCAAAGTTGGTGGTGGAAAATTATGGATTCTAGATGTTTGGATGGAACATTTTGTCTACTCTAGGGTTATTGGTGAAGCCTTCCGCTCCTTCTTAATGTCAGTCTGTGCTTCCATATTAAGGAATAGCCTAGAGTATGCCTGCCAGGCACTTCCGTGGAATGTCTATTAATAATTTAAGGAGCCAGTTGCTGTTGTCGGTCACCCCCTCTAACGACAGCTGCTCCCGTTCCAGTTTACTGCATATTCTCTCTGCCAGCCGTTGTCAAGATCTATGTGTACGAATGGGTTAAGAACTGAATTCAGACACCTCCCAAACTCACATTATAGCTAACTCAGTGGTTCTTAACCATTAATTATGCAAACATCCATAACTTCGTCACTGTGTCGTTTTGTTCTTCTGCATTGGTGGCAATAGGCAACTCATTTGTTAGGCCCCAGGCAACAGCAAACACTAAATTGTTTACTATAGCTCTCTTCCATCCATACTTAAAGGGACACCATTTTAGTATTGGGAAGATTTAAATGGCATTAGCTTATATTACAATGGAAGAATGGATCGCTGGAGTTAATTTTATAATAGGCTGCCAAGCTAATCCCAAGAATAAGGTTAAGAAGCAGTGAGATAACTTTTCAAAATAGAGTATACGTCAGACAGGAGCCCAGTATCGTATAGTATATGAAAAGCAATGTGACCTTCTAAATGAAATATAGATTTGGTGTTTTTAGGAAGACGCTAAGCTAAGACAGTAATTCTCCTCCCCCACCACCACCACCACCTCCAAGTCTGATTTTGTTTGCATTCTAGAAGAAAAGCAGCTATCCCAACTCTCCCTGAAGTTCCGGTCGTCTCCCACATTTTAATATCAGCTCCCTGACACCCGCAAATTCTATACACATAATCCTGGAAATGAGCTTGCAACCTGCAACAATATGGAGGGGCCCATCAGGATGCATTTAGGGCCACCCGATGGGTATCACTGAACAGGGGCCTGACCAGGCGCCATGGCTCTTTAGCAGCGCAAACGAGCCCCAACCACTTCCTAGCAGCTTCATAAGATAGCATCGCGCGGGAGGGAGAGAGGAGTATGGGGAGGAGAGGCAGAGGTAAGCTGCTGCAGACCATCGCGCTCCCTTCCATCAGCCTCAGGCAGCATCACCAGGACCCCAAGCAAGCCACCCTCCTGGACACAAAAGGTAAGCTAACAGGAGGGTGGCTGTAAATATAAAAATTATATCCTGTATGCGTTTATGGATGTCAGTGGGAGTGCGTGTGAGTATATATATTTATCTTTGTGTGTGTGTGTGTGTATCTGAATGTGTCGGTCAGTGTGTGTATTTGTGTGTCACTGTGTATCTGAGGGTGTGTGTATTTGCCAGTGTGTGTATCTGAGTATGTGTGTGTGCCAGGGTGTGAATCTGTGTGTCAAGGTCTGTGTATGTGTCACTGCATGTATTTGTGTGTTAGTGTGTGTATATGCCAGTGTGTGTGTATCTGTGTGTCAAGGTCTGTGTATGTGTCACTGCATGTATTTGTGTGTTAGTGTGTGTATATGCCAGTGTGTGTGTATATGTGTCAAGGTGTGTATGTATCAAGGCGTATGCATGCGTCAGTGTGTAAATAGTTATAATATATTGTTAAATAATTAGTTGTGTTCTGTCAAAATAAATTGTCATGTCCTTGTTCATGTTTAATGGCTGTGTGTGTGTAGGGGGTGACGCCACTGAAATTAGTTTTTGCAGGTTGGGATGTCTGGATAAGGAACATATTGTATGGGAAACAGTGTTTCTTTTACACTGTGAATTGAAAGTCAGTGAGTGTTGTATGTAAATCTCCACTCATGGGATGTGCATTGTACAATTGTCTTCACTTTAGAACTCCTTTCAGCATAGACTTCTAGTTTGTATTCTGATACATCTAGGTAAACACGATGAGGCAAATGAATCGATCAGCTTCCCTTTAAATCATTAAACCAAGCCAGTTCCAAAGTGAATGACATGAGAGTCAGTCCATACGTACTTGTACAGGTCAAAGGAAGACCTTAACCTACTCATCAACAATAACTATGGTGCATGGGTCAAATCACAGGATAGACAGACAAAATAAACAAAGCAGCCAGGTATCTCTGTTTGTCTAGATGCACGGTGGTATCAAACGACAGAACAAATTCCACTAAGGTGCAAGACATCCATCATTACC